AATTTTAAAGCATTTAAAATTAATAATAAAATAAAAATAAAAAAAACAAAAAAAAATTATATGGTGTCCGGCCGGTCGGACCGGCCGGACCGGGTCATAACCGGCTGTCGTGGCCGGACACCAAGTGGGCCGTACGACCGGTCGGTTAGTACAACGACCGGTCCGTACGGCCACACATTTCGCACGGCCAGGGACATGTCCGGTTAAACCGGCCGGACGTGTGTTAAGCCGTCCGGTCCGGTCGGCCGGACGTCACCGGTGCCGTGCGGAAAAACGGGCCGGTCGGTTTTTTTTTTTACCTCCGAGCTGCTCGACATTTTGCGGACACAAAAAATGAAAAGGGCAAAATCGTCCAAGGGGGGCGGTGACTAGTAATAGGGGGCGGTAAATAGTAATGCCCTTTTAAGGGAGGAGAACTTGATAGATATATCCGTCTGTATATTATGATAAAAAAAATGAGTATACAATTCACTAGAAATGTTCCCGCCACATGTTAATATGCCCACCGCTAGGTGGCATGCATTCATTAGTGATGTTAATATGTTTAAAAAAAATACATCACCAATAAGTATATGCCACCTACGCGTTAGGCATATTAACATGTGCCCACCGTGGGTAGGTGAGCATTTCTCTACAATTCCCACCATTATTATTATTATTATATTTTATATATAATAAGGATTAACATAATTCACTTTCAGAAACATTTTCCCGCCAATTTTATTAATTATTGCTTAAAAAAAGTAAATTAATAAAAATTAATATAATTAATGTACATAATCTTTTTAGTTAAATATTTACTATTATTACCTTTATTAGTTGAATTTAAATTTAGGATGATTTAGTTTTATGGAAACAAATATGGGGGTATTATAGAAACTTTCGAAATCCTTAGGTTAAATATATAGACTTGATTGATCAATTATAGAGAATTAATTGTTAATCTTTATATCTATATTATATTTCATGTATTGAGTAAAACATAATAAATTAATACTTATGTTATTTTTCATACATCTTTTTGTTGGCATAGTAGAGTTGCAAGATTATCTTTTTCTTCGTAGACAAGATAACCAAATACAAAAATATAAATAACATTTATGTGCCGATAAAAAATATTTCGGACAATATGTAGAAATGACTTTTAGAAATTACTTAATTAATTTATGGTATAAAGTTGACAAAATTAATAAATTCAATTTTGATATAAAGTTGATAATTTTATTTTAAGTATCTGATAGCCATTTTTATCTTTTCGTAGAAAATGTGTTGTTAATAATAAATGTCCAATTTTGTGGTATAAAGTGGGTGATTTATTTTTTGTACGAAATGTTCCAATTTAAATAGTATGACTTTTATTTGGAATGGATAGAAGTATATTTGAAATTATTTAAAGCAAAATAAGAGCATTTACAATGCATAAATGTTGTTATCGCATAAATTTTGACAAATGTCAATTGTTTAGATGGATTGTGAACCACATAAGATATTTCTTAAGTTCACAACTTTAAATCTAAAAAATTATATACGTGCACAATGTGATCAAACATAATATTGTCAATTGGCAAAACTAAAATAAAATATAAATAAGAAACAAAAAAAATAATAATTAGATATTCTTGGCAAAAACAAAAATAAAATATAAATAAGAAACAATAATAATAATAATAATAATAAGATATTTTAAAAATGGTAATAATAATTCTCTCCCATCTCTCAATTGGTTGATTAGAATGTAAAATAAAATGTGGATGAGCCACATTCTTATAAAATCAAGGTGATGTGATTATTAAAATTTATCATATTTGCATAATAATTTGCCATAATATATTGATGATAATTCGACAAATTGATATATTCCTCGAGAAAGCTATAATGATCTTTGAACAAACATTGGTTAATAAAATTTAAAATTAGTAACTTAATTTTACAGATTAATTTATAATTTTGAACGATAAGGTAACTGACAACAAATCTAAAAAAATGCTAGATATATGTAATACATATATATATATACATATACTAGTTGGCCCGGTGGCTGTACACGCACAGCCGACCTTAGTTCAGTCTATCATTATAACTAATACTCAGAAAAATTTTAAAATATATACCCACATTTTATGGCATTTATAAATATAGCTTCAAATAACTTAACAACAATGAATAAGGAGTTAAACAATGCAATGATATAATAAGATATCTACCTATTTATAAAAGCAGATATCTTCCTATTTATAAAAGCGTTAATAAATCTTTTTGTTTGAACACAATAATTGAGAAGTTGTGTTCAAAAGCAGAAGATTAATATCTACTATTAAGTATGACAAAGTTGTGCTAAAGGTTAACCTTAAAGCAATTATTTCAATTCCAACTCACAAACAGACTTCAACGATGTTGTTTCCGGTTATAAAGTTACGACGTCTATGACCCTGCATTACTTATTACCCACACCGTAACTATATCCATGACATCAACTGTGCCAATCCTAAGTATGATTGTTGTTGCTTGGCTGTGGAAAGGTTGTATTTTTTCCCTCCAAAACAGCATTAGAATTGGCTAAAAATTAAAAGAAGTAATAGGAGATTATATTTTTGAAATTCACACAATTTACAATTTAATGGCACGCTAATATTGACTATAAAATCCTCACCAGCAAAACTCATTCAATATGTGTCTTCTTTATCACAACGTGGAAGAAGTACTCGACAACCCCCTGTTTTTGTCAGAAATGATCAATTTGAAATGGAATAGTCCTGTGGATTCAAATACCATGAAGCATCTAAATTTTATCTTTTCTGCATGCACAAAATGACTTCAAACATCTTCGAAGCACAAACGGGTTTCGTTTAGACTCATCATGACTATGCCCTCTTTCATGTCTAAAAGTGTAGTATGTGACAACATGTAATGATATTGTGATATTGCCTTTGGTATAACCTATCATTTTAGATTGCCAACGATATTATTCAAAATTACTTCTTTCTAATAATTACAGGCTTGCATTTGTAGTTAAAATAAGAATACAACACCGAAGACTGTTTGGATACAATAACCTTTGAAGTAGCCCAACAGTTTGTCACCCATTTCCTTTAACTTTAGTAGACCTGAATACTTTGTTAGCTACATCATGCTTTGCAGAGAATCGATAAATTGTATAGAGAATGTTCATTAAAAAAAAAAAACCGCCATCCTTTACACTATGTTGAGTGATTCATTCTAATCTATGTAGTAAAAAATGCAAGAGGCTTCAAGCATTCGTCTGCCAAAATAATACTATGCATTTGCACAGATGTAAATAAAGTATTGTGATTTTATTTTTTTTTGCATATAATAATTAATTATTTTTCTTTCACCTTTTTGCTAGCCAAATTTACAATTAAAGGAGTTGGAATATATTTTTTCTTTAAATTGTGTTTATCTGATTGAATGTAATGTATATTTTGGTATGTCTTTTTTGTGAATTATTTATTATTTATTTAGGAATTTCAAACACGTTTTTTATTTAAAAAAATAAATTTAAATGTAACCGCAATATTAACATCTAATCACATTATACGGTTAACACGTTATATATATGGTCAACTATCAGTAATCAAAAGTTTAAAATTATTTTTGTAATTTTGAATTGATTAGTGTCGATTATTTAATAATCAAATGAAAGATTAAATACATCAAAAGTAACGATTTTTGGAGGGAAAATGGTTAAACTGCCACATATGTAAAATTAAATAGGTTTTATTAAAGGCTATTAGCTAGTAATTATATATATATATAGATAAAATTTGTGCATGTGCACAAATACAAATAAAATAGTATATAACATAAAGTAATATAATGAATAATATACTTACATAATTAATGAATCCAAATTAATTAATTGGTTGAAAAAATTAAATTACTGTTATTATTATTGATATTGTTTATCCAGTTTTATATGAATTGTTATTCCATTAAAACAAAATAGCTATTAAAAAAATTGCTTAATGAGATAAAAATAAAATGATGATATTAGTTTTACAATTCAAAAGAATACCTGAAGAAAAAAAAATTGCAATAATTGTTTTTTATAAGTCTATAATTTGCATAAGTTTTTAGTGTGAATTTATAATGGTTATTAATATTGGTAGCAAATATTATGTGCTAAATGCTAAAAAAAATATTATTGTAAAAAAAGAGTGAAAAATGTCAATAATTTTTGGGTCCCTCTATATATGGATAAATAAAAAAATACAAATATATGCTGTAACTTCTTTTAAATAAAAATAAAAACAAATTTGTTAATTACTCTGCTAGCGATTACATATATATATATATATATATATTAGTGAGGTTACGGCTGTTTTAGTCAATAATAAAGTAGCAATTTTATGTGCTATATATCTTTAAAATTAGTAAATTAATATGTGCGACAACAGGGTATATATACATTAATTAAATATTAAATAGTCACTAAAAATATATCGAAAGTGAGCTTTGAAATTCCTCGATACAATAGCCAGTGATCGAGCATCCATCCTCAAGCTCCTTTATCACCCATGCTATATACGGCCTCTATCTAAGTCTAGTTGCTTCATTTATGTAAACATAAAATAATAATAAAATAGTGGTAAATATTAAATACGGTTTTGCTATGAAACCAACAATTGGCTCCATAGTTGAGCCAACTTTCTATATATAACAAATAAATCATACATATTAATAAAATTATATTAGTGTTATTTAAGTAATCCTAATATATGATAAGTTTACTTGTTGTATATAGAAGGTTGACTCCACTATAGAACCAACTATTGGCTCCATATCAAAATCGATATTAAATAATATCATGGTCATTATATGCTTACACTTGATGATCGGGATAAAGCTAAAAAGAAACTGAAAAACATATTTCAATTAATCCTGGGAGCTTCTCGCAGGGAACAGAGGCACACAACCCATTGAATTCATTTTGATGGCCGAAACGACCCTTCGACGGATGGCCAAATCTCGTAGCAAAACTCGCTTGCTAGCCTCTCACGCTCACACCTGAAGAACATTTGGAATTGGCCGGAAAAAATGCGTACCAACACGTCACTGGGTTTGGTGACAGAGAAGGACAGAGATGTACTTTCAGTCAAGGATTCTGGTTACCTTGCAAGTTGAAGCACTCGGCCACACCGGCATAGTCATCAATTGGACGTAGGACATACTGTCTTCTATCGAGGAACTGGTCCCGGGCAAGATACACGGTCGGTATGAGCTTGGAAACTGAGGTAGGCACAAAAATAAATAAAAAAAACTTCAAAATATATGGCTTAGAGTCGAGAAAAATATGAATCGAGGTTGCAAAGAAAAGATCAGTTCGTACCTTGATGATTCAACATGGTAAATTGCCATTGGCCATCGGATCGACCTGCAGATTCCGAGCGATTTCATGACCGTGTCATATCAAAATAAGTTGAAATAAGAACCAAAACACCAGCAATAAAATTAAAACTTCGACAATATAAAACTGTAGAAATTAGAATACACAACTTTGATTACATTTTTAGTTCCCAATAAGTTGCAAATAGTCTAGAAAACATAAACTACGAAATTAGTTTCTTAACAACATAGAACTCTAAAGCACAAAAGCATGATAGCAACACTCTTTAAACCTTTAAAAAATAGCATACAGGCTTGAAGTCAATAATAAAATTCATTAATAGCATATTTCCAGAGCATGAAAAGGGAATGGAAAATGAGAAAATGATGAACTTGAATGTCTAATTGTCTTCTTTGCACACATGAGTTATCATAAGAACCTCTTTCCTTTCTGTTATTACAATCCCTCCACTATGTTAATTAAAATGAAACCTACGGGTTTAAATATGTAGTGCTAAATTCAGTTCCAACAACAAAATTTCTTAAATGCAATAAATATTGCCTTATTTTGTCATTGTAATATTAAGATTTTTTTTTTAAAAAAAAAGTACACTTCAATTTCTCTTTGCAAAAATGTGACCCTAGCTTTCCACTACCTAAACGACGAATGATAATTGTCATCCATGTCCAAATGTCTTTACATGTTTCTATTTATCAATATACAATTCAACAAATGAACCATTATTAGTGCCCTGAAGTGAACACTAAGATGAAAGACCCCAAAATGGGAAAAATAAATAAATAAATAAATAGAGCTCCAAACATCAGTATACTTCACATCTCACAAAAACACACATTTAGATTCTGAAAACCAAATTTCACAAGAGAAGCTTAAAAACCATATAAATAACACAAATGCAACAAAAATAAAAATAATATGGGGAAAATGGAAAAATAGAAGATACCAAAATGACCTCTGCATACTTCTGCTGAAGGCAAGCAGCTCATCCTCAGACATGTCAGGCCTCAACATCGCCATGGTCTCGTACTTCCTGAGGCATAGTGAGCATGGCGGCTCCTCTGCAGACTCTGCCACCGGAAACCCCAAACCGAAAAGATTCAAAAACCCATAATTGGAACCTCTGGCGAGGCATCGTATTTCTCCAGAGGCTTCATCTGGGCACATCATGGCATTAATATTGCACCCATTGTTTTGTCTTTCTTTAAATATAATGTTATAGTTTTTGTAATTATCCCATTTCATTTCGTAGAAAATGCTAGAATATAATTTCAACCATAACAGGTTGCTAATGATATTTCTGAGACTGACTGAAACTTACATGCCCTACAAGGTTGTGATGATGATCCTTGTGATGAAAGCCTCTGTTTTTCTGGCTACTCACGATTTTTAGCACTAAAACATCGAAGCTGTATACGTCTGATTTTAGTGAGAACATGCCATCGACTGCATATTCTGGTGACATATAGTCACTGCAAGAAAATTAAGGGAACCATAAAGTTCATAAGCTCAAATGTTTCAGATGATTCTAAACGGATGTGTAAATTTAAAGACCGCTTACTATGTTCCTACAACTCGTCTTGTGTTGGCTTCTGTCTCGTTCCCTCCAAAATTTTGGCCATGCCAAAGTCTGATATTTTTGGATTCAGATCGTTATCAAGCAATATATTGCTGGCTTTGAGGTCCCTATGCATAATTCTTAGCCAACTCGCCTCGTCTTTTGGCAAAAACCTCTCGAGGCAACCGCAGACCAGATAATTGTCATTATTACAATTGCCATTGGCGCCACATAGCCTGTAACTACCACATATATCTGCTGGGAAATTGTAGAAAACGACCCACTCCTAGCTCAAGTTCACCCAAGTCTGCTGCTGCCTGACTCCACTGTGGGTCAACGTAAACCTCGAGAAAACCAAGCCGTCTACTCTACAGCAAATCTTGAGTAGTAAGCCACAATGTCGTTTATAAAAATTGTTGCAGTCATCGTGGCTGTAGACTTGAAACAGAATATCACAAGAAAGAAAAGGTCAGACAGACACTTCATCATGGTACTTTGGAGCCCTCCGTTTGTGGGCTGGCTCAAGGTGAACATAGATTGAAGGTCCTGCAAGTTGTATCGATACAATTTAGGGCAGGCATCGAGTGTACTTACAACATATGAGGTGAAAAGTGTTCGAATTGGTCTGTTAGCTTTTCTTATGCATTGGGCTGAAAGACTAATGCTCTTGTTCTAATTTATCTTTTTATTTTTGTGTAGGAACAATTACTTATGCAACAATGGCTTTATGAAGCTGCTTTGGATGCGCGGCAAGATAGACATGTGCTTTCCGATTTCTAGTTTAAATCTGGGATTTGTGAAAACAACCTTGAGGTCCAATCTAATTGCTAAAACGACTAATATTTTTCAAAACCACAGAATTTCTCATGAGAT